TACTCTGGGTGACTGAAAGTTTTATCCATCTAATAAACCCGGCTTTGTTTTTTTATTTTCTGTCTCTGCCGCAGAGCACCGTCTGCTCTCTAGTGCTTCAGCAGATGGTAGTTCTTGACAGCGTTGCTCTGAAATTAACCCTTTGGTTCACATCATGCTGTTGGTGACGGCAAAACTCAAATGTTTGGTTCTGACATAAAACCTGCTAGTGGTGTTATAGGACATGTTGTTAGAAATTACGGTACAGACGTGACTTTTTGAGTCCGTCTCTCAAGAGGGCACTCTGCAATGTTTTTAGGTAATGTAAGACAGAAAAGCACTCCACACCAAAGTAATGCTGGAATAATGAATAACACCATTTACAAATTTAAAGAACCTGCTTTGTGTGGCTTTGATTTCCATTAATAAAGAGCAGGGAAAATAGCTGTACCCATTTGGCAAGCCAAGTGAACAGATAATATCTAGAGTATGGAAAGCCATTTGGATATTTATTCTATGTTCTTGAAATTTGATTTGTGCTTTAATCAAACTCTAGTTCATTTGTCTAGAAAGTCCGTGTGAATGCTAATCAGACCAAAAAAAGCAAACTATGGTCCGTCTATAGTCCTCGGTCTTGGTTTGGTTAAAGTGAGTTTTGGTGCGGTTTGAATGTGAACACCAAGCAGATCAGAGACCGCTCCAAAAGCAGGAAGTGGACTATAGCGCAGGGCATTGTGGATAAATACAACCAAAACAGACATTCAAGTCCAGCACTAACAGGAGAAATTACTTGTGTTTTTTTTGCCAAATACAAAAGAGAAATCCTGCAAGAATTTAATGCTGATCCATTTTTTGTTTGTTTTTTCACATTTTATGAAGAAGAAAGTTGCACTCAGTCTCTTCTTCAGAGGTTTTCTTGTTGTTTCCTTCAGTGGTTTTTGATGCAGCGCCCCCTAAGGGATCACAGCTGCTGATAAATACATGATTTCTGTTTTCTTTTTGAAATCACAGTGTTGTTTTAAACTACTCCTTGAAAGCAGAAATACTGTGCCGTTAGCCTACAGGTTGTCAGTTTTGTGTTTCCTGCCTCAGGATGTTATCAATTTTAATTATGCAGATCCCACAGAGTTCCCTCAGTAAAGTTTTCTACCTACTTTAAGTCAGGTTAATGATTAAAAGAGAAGCTACTAAAAGCCTACAACCCAAAGAGTGGACATTTCTTCACAGAAAATGACAGACTGGAGTGCATTTTACTCAGAAATGAAAGATGAATTGGATGTTTCAGAGTGCAGTTGGCTGAAAACGAAAGAAACTCTGTGTTTAGTGAGTTTTGCAAAGAAATAGTGTTGTGCAGTTGGGTAATGTTTCACCCACCACAGTGGCTTTTATTCATGCTCCACTGAGAGGAAAAACATTTAACGTGCCTCTCAGTTGGTCTCTGAGTCCAGAATATAAAAAAATGACTTTCATCATATCTTGTTCTAACAACTGACTATCTGGAGAGCATTTAGACATTTTGTTTATATGCAGAGAAAATTCACAAAGCAAAGCCTGAAGCCATCCACAAAAACTCTAATCCATTCAGTGAGTTTTATTTTCTTATGCTAAGTATAAGCAAAGAGCTTAAGAGGTTAAGTGAAATGTCTGCTGACTGCCATTTTAAAAAAATCTGATTAATCATCTAAATAATAAATTCCTAAAATAATTGTTAGTTGCAGTACTTGAATACATATAATATTTATGATTATTGCAAGGATTTTTTTGGCTGCTTTCTGTTCAGAAGACAGCCACAAATCTTGGCTGAACGTTTTTCTACAGTCTATTCCCATCATGTTGCTTCAACCACTTTAGGCTTTTTTGGTGCTTTTAGTCTGTGATTATTGTCAGGGTTGTTTCAATTTCTCATTAACCATCCGCCAGTTCGCTTTAAAACAGCATCTGCTCAAAGACCAAAAATGCAAAACGTACGTCTTTGCTTGTGGATTCTGTACATTGCTGTTATGTTCAGAGTATTTTTTTCCTGCCATCCGGTTTCAAAGAAACGCTGTAAAGTTGCCTCATTGTTTTGACGTGCAGCCCCTCTAGAGCTTTTATTTTTCAAAAAAAGCAAAAAACGTGTCCTCCAATCTGCCCCCGTCTTTCAGACTTTGCTGAGTGGTCCGTCCCTGGGGTGGATAGCTGCCAGTTTAGTCTCTACTACTTCACACCTCTGAGTGTATTTGTGTGAAAGACGGAGAACAGAGAGAAACAGGTCACAGAGCTTCATGTTTGTTTTTTCTCTCCTTCAAATCTGAAAAATTCAATCTCAAAGCTGGGATCAGATAGTTTCTTTTGCAGGCTGGAGTTATAAATAAGTAGCTTTGCTGATTTAAAATTGATTTAAAAAGTCAGAAGTGGCAGCAGGAGTTAATAAAAAAAGTGTAATTTTACCTCATGGCAGTGGTCAGCTACAGCAGCTCCAATAAAGCTGCTGATTTGCCAGCAGCTGTGTCAAACTGTCGGCTGCATGTTAGGGCAGAACTCACAATATCCTGACATTTTAACTGGACCTGTGCCTGGAGCTAAATATAAAACGTCTCTCTGAGAAAGAGACACCGAGACCCCTCACCTAACACTGCTCCGAAGTCTGCAGAGCAGGTTCTTCTCCGACAGAGAAGTCTGGTTTGATTGCAGCTGACAGTACAGAGGCCTCCACTCTTATCGCTGCCCCTGGAAAAAAGTCTTGAGATAACACTACAGTCACACTGAAAACATTTGGAAAATCAAGGCCACATATTTAGAGGTTGAAAAAACATATGAATAAATAATATATATAAACGATTAATCGGATTAATTGTAATTAATTGTGATTAATCAAATGTAGCAGTCTCCACACTTTTCCACACCCTGGAAGAAAAGCCTGAAGATAATGCTATAATCTCACCGAAAATGTTTGGAAAATCAAGTGCATACATCTAGAGGTTGAAATAAGAATATATATAAACGATTAATTAGATAAATCATGATTAATCAATTGCAGCTGACAGTACAGAGGCCCCTGGACAAAAAGCCTTAAGATAACACTACAATCCCACTGAAAATGTCTGAAAAATCAAGAGTGTACATTTAGAGCTGGAAAAAACACAAAGAAATGAGATATTAACGATTAATCAGGTAAATTATGATTAATCGATTATGAAAATAATCAACTATTTTAGTAATCAATGTATTTGTTAACTGGATTATACTGAAAAAGGCCATTTTCTGAACGTACAACATCTTCAGAGCTGTATTTAAGTTAAAATTACTCAAATATATACATATTTTGCTTTTAAGATAAAAAAAAAACAAACTTTCTTTGACTGTAGATATTTTCTACCCGGAACTCCTCATTTGCATTTTTAGCTTCACTTGGTTCAAATTCTGTAAAAAATAATCTACGAAGCCCCTTTTGCTATCCAGTTGTTGATCAATCTAAGTAATAATCCACAGATTAGCTACACTGTATTGATAAGTCAATCAGAAAAAAAAAAGTTTTCTATCAGATTTAGATTTGGAGACTGAATTGATCATGAAAATTAGGAATCCCAATAATTAATTTTTACCCCTTAAGTAAATGTACTGAAAAAGAAAGAAACAGTTTTATTCTTCTGTACATAATATGAATTTACAGAATTGTGAAAGTCTACAAGACGGTAATCATTTAAAACCAGATCAGGATCGATGTTTAGTGTAGAACAGAGTCCAGCTGATTATGAACATGTTCACTTTAGTAGGACATTATCACCCAGTTTTGTGCAGATCCAGGTGTATTTGGTCTCCTTTTCATTTGTTTAATATTCATGAAGTTATTTAAAGCAGCGCAGCGTCCCTGCAGTCGGCTCTGAATCGGAGCCGAAGGTTACTCCGCATGAAAATTTAACGTTATGGCTTCAAAACTGTGCAGAGTGATACCAGTGCATCTAAAAACTGCATCATGGGACGTCTCATTCAAAAAGAAACAACAAACAGATAAAGAAATAACAGAAAGGAGTCAAAATCTTTCAGGTGAGATATAAAGTAGCTGTTGAAATTCTTATTTGTTGTTTTTCTTTTACCTAAAAGAATATATTGTAGTTTAGAGAAACTTGGATGTTTTAATTTTTTTTTAAATTATAATTTTACAGTAATAAAAAAATCCTCAGAATTTTGACACAAAAGTCCTCTAAGTTTTAACTTATGACTTTTCAACAGAATATCTGCAGTTTTTTTCTTGTAAAAATGGAATGTTAAACTCAAAATTTCTGAGATTTTTAGCATAACGTTTCTCCTCCTTGGATATTTTTTTCTTTCATCAACAACCTTTTGTCTCAAGGTGTTTTCGTACCCGTTAGTCCGATAAACTCGGTTCAATTTGAGACCAAAAATGCGACATTTGCTACATTTTCACCTGGTTTGCTTTCACACTCCGCTGTCTCAAACGAACCAAACCTTTTGGAAAACCTGTTCCCCTTGTTGCCTGTGGGGGCGCTGCATCAAGAACCACTGAAGGAAACATGAAAACCTCTGAAGAAGACACTGAGTGCAACTTCCTTCATAAAATGAAAACAAAATTGGAATAATGTTTGTAGTATTTCTCTTCTGTCACTGGTAAAATCTTCAAGCCATTTTGTTTCGCCAGCGTTTTTTTTGGTTGTATTTACCCAGAATGCCGTGTGGTGTAGTCCACCTCCTGTTTTGGGAGTGGTCTCCAGTCCGCTTGGTGCTCACACAAGCTGATTGAGGTTTTCAGGCGGAGCAGAGTTTCCATTTCTGGTTCGATTAGCATTCACACCTCTAAAACGAACCGCTCTTTCTTTCAAACACACTACAGAGTTTATCTTGATTTTTCTCAACAAAACACAAAAACTATTTCTCTGGCTAACGAGATGGAGCTTCCCTTCGCTAAACTCGTGCACCTCTTTACCGTTTGTATTTAGTCATTTTTAAAGCTGTGCTGGAGAAAATCCAAATGTGTCTCCTTGTGCAACCCTTAGATAATCAAACGCTTTCGTTTTTCCCAGGTGTTCCGCAGGAAGGCGGTGGAGCTGGGTGAAAAGCTGCTGCCAGCCTTCAAAACGCCCACAGGCATCCCCTGGGCTCTGCTCAACCTCAAGAGGTAAAACACTCACACAGCGCCGGCGGTCCACACAGCCGCTTCGTTTTGATGGTCTGCTGCTTTAAAGCGCCGTGTGGTCTGTGGCTCGCCGCTTTCACTCACCGAGATGTTTTGGTTTAACATGACAGCGCCGCCCCGCCACACACGCACGCCTTGTTGTTTCCCCGAGCGCTCTCTGAAGGTTATAAACCTGAAGGAGGTTTTATTAATACTCCATGAAATGCTGACACACAGCTTCGCCCGGTTTCACACACCACAAATAAAGATGGAGGATCGTTTTGTTGGTCGTCTTCCATCACTTGGATGTTTCCATCTGACTGGTGTCACCATGTTTTTCTGAACTTTAATAATAGATTAACCGTAAAAAGTCTTCCCTCAATCTCTACAAACTGTTTATCAAACATAAATTTGCTTATACAGCAGCTGGAAATGTAGCACACTGCAAAAACACAAACTAGTTTCTAGTGCAAATATCTATATGAGTTAAATATGAGTTAAAGTAGAGAGGCCCCTTCACTGTCCACTTTTAAAAGCTCGTCTTAAAACTCATCTATTTTACTTGGCTTTCAACTCCAGCAGGATCTAGTTTTAAATTGTTTGTTTGTTTTTTAAACTGTAAGAGTTTTTATTTTTTTATTTTTTATTGTTATGTTGTGTTTTAATGTACAGCACTTTGTATCAGCTGTGGTTGTTTTAAAGTGCTTTATAAATAAAGTTGGTATGGTATGGTAAATGTTACCTTAATACTGATGAAAATGAGTTCCAATAGCAGATTATTTAACTTACGACAAGAGATTTTCCCCATGTTTTAGTGAAATAATCTGCAAATAAAAATAACACTTTTTCACCAATATTAAGGTATTATGGACTTAAAATCAATAATTGCTAGTGAGATTTTCCTGGCATCTTATTGCTTCATGGAGAAAATATGAAACTAAATTGTTTCTGATATTTGTGGAAAATCCCGTCGTCACTTTTTAACAGAAGTAACTTTTCATAGACATCTAAAATAAAACTTTAATTAAATTACTACTTTTAGGATTCAAAAATGATCTATAGCAGTGTATTTTTAAGTGGCCACCAGGGGGCGTTGGAGAGATGAAGAAAAAACATGCAAAAAATAATTTAAAAAAAGTAATTCCACAATTTTTATTGTAAAATTTTCATAATTTTTTTTCTGCTTTTCAGTCATTAAATTTTTTTAAGTTAAAATAATTGATTTATATGTTGATTTTTCTGCCAGTCAAATTCATTTAGCTGTGTCGCTCCTGAAGCTAGCTTAGCAAACAAATGGAAAAGTTTCTAACAAGAAAAACACTAAAAAGTTCACCGCTGCAACAAAACAATGTAAGAACCGTGAAAATAAAATTAAATCTGATGTGATTAATGTAAAATATTACATAGTTTCTAATAATCGAAAAGGAAGATTGTATTTGTATAATCTGTTAATAAAGCCATAATATATTTTACGCCATCTAAAATGCTATCCTAAATTACTGTAATAATTATTGAATAGTAAAAAAAAAAAACATTCTGAAAGTTGATTGTGGGTTTGGAAACTCCTGATTTTAAGCATGTTAATATTCTATATAAAACATAAATTTTCTCAAGTTTCTGAATAATTTTCAACGGCGAGCAGGAGTAACAAATTAAAATCTAATTTTCACAACTTTGTTTTAAACAAACTAAATTCTGGTGTTGGACTGAAGTCATTCTTCATCCTGCAGACCCCACTCCTCCGTTTTTCTCCTTCTCTGTCGAGAAAGACGCAACGCTCTGCTGTTTGTTGGCTTTTAATTAAAAGGCAGGTTGTCATGACGATAAATGTGCTGTAACAAATTAATTTCCATTGTGCCTGAACGGGTGAATGGACCCCAACGCCCCCACGGCCTCCTTCCTGGAGAGAGGAACGCCCTGGGGCAGCGCCGTGTGTCTCTGCAGGTGTGTGTGTGTGTATGTGTGTGTGTGTGTTTCTGCAGGTGTGTGTGTGTGTTTCTGCAGGTGTGTGTGTGTG